TCAGCAAAGGGCCCCGGACCCCGTACTCCCGGAGCACCCCCCACAGGGCGCTGCGAGGGACACGGTCGAATGCCTTCTTCAGATCTTCTCCATGATCCAGCGTAAGAAGGATAATGACTTCCACTACAAATTGCTAATCAGTGTGTAGCAGATGTGCAACAGATTAAAGGTCATCTGCTGTGCATCAGTTGGTTCATAACTGCTGTGCATGAGCACCAACAAATATGAGACCATCACCAGTATGGTGTTCCCCGGTTTTGTGAATGTGAAGATAAAGTTAAATGTCCACCTGTAGCTCAAGCAGATTTAAACAGCGCTGGGCCTTTACAGGGAGTTTATTACCCATGCCTTTAATCAACTGGAGACCTGCTCTATGGATGAAAAATCCAGCATCCCAGTACACACAATTCAGGACCCGGTAACAGTTCAAACAGATGGATTTACACCAAGCATTTTCTGAGGGTAAAGGCTGAACCTCCTTGTCATAAGATAATCAATGTTCAGTTCTTTCATTGCCTCCTCCTATTTTGTCCAGTACAGCAACATAGTATCTAGCTGTCCCAATCCCATGCATATTTAATATTGTTTGCACAACAATGATGACTTTACTTAGTGACTTTATCTAAACTTCATCCTGTCCTGGAGCTGCAAATTTAAAGAACAGGAACTGACACTGCATAATTTATTGGGTGCCTTTAGGTTTATACTGTGTGTCAAGCTGTTAAAAATCTCTATACTTGTGTATTATTCACATGGAATAGTGTGTTGTAAATACCAGTTCGTTTTCAAATAGCTTCGGGTGATTTCCCATTGATAATCTTTATCCTTCTCCCTATCAGCTGGTATGTCTGGTAACCAGATCAATGCAGTAGATACTGTAGCTTAATTCACTTAGATTCTTTGCTTTTTCTCTATAAGAGGATTTGCTGTTTGTGTTTTTTTCCATATGATTCTGAGTTCACTGATCCAGGTTATCAGAACACTGTAGAACATTATACAAAGTATAAGCAACTTTATTTGAATGACTAGCATGGGCAACATACTGTAGCATATTCCTTCATGGTTCAGATCAAAATGTGTTGTTTTTAATGTTTTCTCATAAAAGCTCCTTTCTATCACCTTTGATGTAACAACTCATTAAGCCTGACAAAACCATGTCAATGCAAAATGACCCCATTAAAGCTCATCTCATTATCCACAGCTAGGGGACTGTCAGCAGGAGACAACATGAGGAAATCTCCATATAACCTCATCTTTGTGAATTAGCCCAAAACCGATGCTATGGTCATTATAACCATTGCTGTCACTTCAATGACCAGAGAAGAGGAGCTGTAACAAAAGCAAAAATGACAATGACAAGCCAGGCAGAGCCACTTTCATATGCACCGGTGTCTGTAAGTACCTGTGTGTCTATGTATGCATACTTGCTAACATGTATGCAGTGCTGCTGGTAACATTAATGAGCCTGTCAGAGACAATCAACATTTTTGTGCTTCTGCATCCTGAGCTAGAAATGGTGTAGAGAGAGACACCTAGATAGATGTTCTGATATATCTTGATATATACATATCAAAATGGAAAATTAGAAATCTCATCATTTGTTGATTGGTTACTCTGCAGATTCCTCTCATGTCAGCAGCAGCAAAGAAAGACAGACCCACTTGGTAATCACCACAGAAACAAGATTGATTAGTTCTCAGAAAGATAAATAGTAAGAATGGGACTAGAGTGACATGTCAGATGAGACTCTTATCATCAAAGTACCGTTTAAATGTAAATCTGTCTGAAGCATACAGCACCAGCATAATTTTGATATTTTGGAATGCACAACAAAAGCCTATCAGTTTTGCCCTACTGTATAGCTTTCAGCACACAATGCTTCACCCCCTCTGATTCGGTACGCATGGAAGCATCAACAGTTACTAGTCCTGCAGTGTCACTGCACCTTTGAATTTCTATCAGATCCTGTCATTTTGTGAATAGTGTTGTCACTACCCATAGCTTTGAAAGATAGAACAGAGTGTGCAGCTCTCCCCTACCCTATCTATCTCTCTCTTTGAGATGCCTCGAATGCGAGCGTAGAAGTACAAGTGCTCTCTTCCAGTTAGCAGGCTGTCCAGTGCGTCCACCTGGGGACAGTAGCCGATGTTAATTCCCTTGTTACGGCACTCCATGATGTCTACCAACCGCCTGGGGAAAAACAGAAACAGAAACAAAGGCAAATTCTCTCAAATGGCATCCACTACATGGTGTAGGGCAGATGGGCATGTAGGTTGTTTCAGCGGACCTGCTGTCTGCTGTGTTGGGAATACTCGTCATATAACTTAATAACACAGCAGGATTCTGAGCCAGGCTCATGGATATGATGGAACTTTATACTTCAGTTTATACTTTAGAACTTCAGTTTCATTTACATTCAAATATTGGCTGGTGCAAAGTAATAACACTCCTCATTTGTGGATCTTTGTGTTATGCAAATTGAATCTATCTTAAATTCATTACACAGTGCAGCTTGGGCACCTGTAGAAACAAAATAAAGGCTTTGTCCTCTGATAGGTTTGCTTCACTGTTTTCCTCTATACTGATTCTCACAAATCATTTTTTATGCTTTGTTAGTATTTTATAATCTATACTGTAACATATTTTATATTGAAAATAAACCAATAAAGTAATAAGAAAAACAACAAATTCATATATGCTTTTTTTAAATAAACAGCTCAATGAATGTACAGCTTACCCATCCCAGTCCCTGATCTGTGCTGTGCCATCAGTGGGGCTAACATCTCCAGTCAGCATCTTGAAGGTGGTAGTTTTTCCTGCACCGTTCACTCCCAACAGACCAAAGCACTGCAACAGATCACTCATCTCTTAGTAACCCTGGAGCATCTGACTACTGTACAGCTTTTTCAAATATCAGACAGATGGATGAAACAAAGAAGCGCTTTGGTGAGCATTGTTCTACAGTGAGTCATCATCAATCTGATTTTAGGTCATACTGGACATCAACCTCGTTCTCAAATTATAGATTTTTATTCTTGGCAAAACAGCTGTATTTCACAGTATTGCAGAGGCAAAGCAGAACTGAATGTAATTTCACTGTCAGTAAAAGCAGAAATGTCAGAATTTGGTTACAATATAGTTGATGAGAGAAAGTAAAAAGGAAACATTAAATCAGTTACTTTGGACTGACTGGCCTCCACAGGATGAATGAAAGGTGCTGGGGTGTAGCTTAGCCCTAACCAGCATGATTTTTAGGTCATACACTAATTTTTTTATAATACTGCTTCAAAATTGTCAAATGTGTTCCCACATATATAATTAACTCAACTGTGGACTGAGTTTCAAAACACCAACAGTGGGCTGTTAGTAATTTAGGTTTAGTGAAATGTTTACTACTCCATTACATAAAGTCACAAGTGGCTATTTAAAACACACACACACACAAGATTTTGATAATGGTCATTAATTATAAAACGCCTCCTTCATTTCCTCCTGATTTAGATTATTCAATTGCAATTCATTTTTCTGGTATGGGTAAAGGTTTAGGCCTACCTCTCCCGCAGGGATGCCCACAGAGAGCCTCTTGACAGCATGGACCTTGGTTTTGAGATACTGATAGACCTTTGTGAGCTGGTTGACCTGCAGTATGTCTGAACTGGCTCCTCCACTGGACACCCGTAGGTGCTCAGCCACCACATCCTCATCCTCATCCTCACAAGGCTCCTGGGAAACTGTCTTTCTGCCACAAATCAGACGCCTACACAAGGAAAGGTCAGTTTTTACATATCTACTCAATGCTGAAGTTAATGTGAGTAATGGGTAGAGACAGAGTGACCAACCCATTAGATGTGTGAGGTTAGAAAGAAACTTTGTGACCTTTTATTTATTTTTATTTTTTTTACTGAGGTTTGGGGTTCAATATCTGTGGTATTTTTGGTTTGTATTTTTCAAAAAATATTTTTGACAATTTTCTTTTTCATTTTGAACTTAAAATATGAAAGCAGTTGTTTAAAACTGTTTTTAGGTTTAAAGTGACTCCAATGAATATTCAATTCATCACTCATTTATATAATCTCTGTATCACTATCAGAATCAGAATCAGCTTTTTTGGCCAGGTGTGTCGGGCACAAGAGGAATTTGACTCTGGTACAGTGGCTCTCAATGTGCATGTACATATCCCCATGCAAGGCAAAAGCAAGGGACAAGTAAACAGTAAACTAACATAAGGCTGTGTAGTATAACAATTAAACAGTATTAACAAGCAACAAACAGTGCAAACAATGCAAAATAAACAGTATAACAGGCTGTTTATTTTACATTTATATGTCACTATCATATTCTTGGCTGCGGAGCACATTTGGATGTACCAGAAGAAAACCAATTTAAAATGATCTCAATTCCACGTTCTGTACATGCAGTATAGTAATTAAAAGGCTGTTTGTGTACACAGAGTTCATGATCATTTGTGACATTACCATACGGTCTGTGGCTTCAGTTTTCCTTACCTGACTTTGCGTATGAGAGACCTGTTGAACAGGAGGCGCAGGGTGAAGAAGACCAGGCCTTGAATGAAGGAGGACATAAACATCCAGCCCAGTGACTCTGTGGAGAATGGGTTCTGATAGGCATCAATGCCGTAGCCGCTGAGAATCTGAACGTCTATGTCTTTCCTAGCCAGCTCTATTAGCCCGTTGCCAAAGTTGAATTGGGGGAAGATTTTGAAGGCGCAGTTCAGTGTATTTAAGGTGTCCTTGATCGCCTGCAGGAGGGAAGAACAGAAAAGAAGACAATGAGAAAGGTGGGGCATGAGGTGGTGGATAGAGGGAGGGAAAGAAGTAAGGATAGAGAACTGTCACCTTCCTGACATTGGATATGTGAAGAATCTTTGCCCTGCTCAGTGCTTTGCAGCTCAGTGTTTCCACAGTTACAGAGACGGACAAGGTTTAATTAAACAGTTACTGAACAGTCACATATTTAGGTGTGCATTTAAATACTTCAGATCTATTTAGTTGATTCAAAGATATAAGAGTGAAGGTGTCAAGACTAGAGGGTAGTAACTGGGAACTGCAGAGTTCAGAAGTGCAGAACCACTTTTGATTAATCATGTTTCTCAGTAAAAGGCTCACAACTAGGGAACACTACCAACAGATTTAAAATCAGAAATCATTGCCTCTTCTACAAAGGTGAAACAGTGGCTTAAACAACAACAAAGATGTGACCATTGAAGAGTGTGGGCTGTCTTTTTAACACTTAGTTTTATCTGTTCTGGTTTAAGCTGGTTTTGTCTATTATGATATTTGTTATTTGATGTTTGAACCTGTTAATTTAAAAGCCTAAACAGGGACAAAGCTGCAAATTATCTTTTAGCTAGACGCCCCATATGCATTGGTTCACAGAGTGTAACAAAGTTTAGATGCATCTGTACCTGTAAATTAAGCAAATGATATAAAACAAATAAAAACAAAAGCATCTTGGCTCAGGCACTTTATGCTGACCTCTAGGTTCGTATGTGAAATTTGACTCAGAAAGTAGAGGATGGAGGTGGATGTGATTGTGTTGATACTGATGAAGAGGTTGATGCACACATAGATGATGAAGGCCATTTCTGCATCCTTGAAGACACTTGATAACAAATACATCCAGGGGAAGGTAGCAAACCTGAGGAGTTGACAGAGACAGGATACTTTTAATAATCATCAAGTAAAAATAACTCCACACATACACCTTAAAATAGCCCTGCTGGGATGGTTGGGTTGGTTTCAAACACAGAGTACACACCAAGAAAAACACCAAGTGGATATAGAACATTTCTCACAAATATATCTTCTAAAGTGACATGAACTTGTGCTTTTAAGTGGCTCAGGCCTTTAACAGACTTAACAGAGCAGCTGTGAGGCTGATGAAAAAAGATTACTTAAAAGGGAAGGAGGAAAAAATACACCATGAGAAGGGTAAACATTCAGTCATGATGCCAAAAAAGAGGAAGATAAATCACCTCTCTCTATTCCTTGGTGGCAGAACACAATTTTCCTTTCTTTTCTCTCACATTATCTGCGTATTCGTTTGACTGGGGTGCCTGGGTCAGTGAGAAAGAGAGGAAAAGGAGGAGGGAGAAAGAAATGAAGAAGACAAACAAACGTGGGCTGGGGAAAGCTAGAGACAGACAGAGCCAGACAGAGACAAAGCATCTGTGTGCCATGCCCCAAAAAAGGTGCTTGGTAGGCAGACTGTGGGTGCCAAGCCACGACAAGGAACAGAAGCAAGAAGGCTGTAGAGCAGACCAGGTGGGTGCAGCCTGACAGATGGGGTACTGTGATTACTCATTGCTTGGGAGGGAGACATCTGTCTGATAAATGAGAAGCAGAGTGTTGACTTGGCCTCCTAAGATCTAGAGCTCAGGATGAGGCCAGCGACAGCAACGGTGAACACAGGGGCCTAAACCTCTGCTCCAGATGAGGAATGATGTAAATAATCCCATGTAATCTAGGTGCAGGAAACACATCATTTATCTGACACCTTTCTATAATCTACATCGAAATGTTTCGAGATAATAGTTAGCATCTAGCTCACACCAAGTCATGTGTTTTTGTCCTAAGTCCTGTTGATTTCTCACACACCCCTTCCTCACTCTCTCTAGCATCTTTGGCTTGAATGGGATGAACATGTTGGAACAGATTTTTCTATCAGCCTTTCAGTCCTACCACCATCTGTCTTTGCAAGAAATTCAGAAAAATTGAGCTGTGTTTGTGTTTGAACAATAGCAGCCTCCTTATGCTCCATGCTGTAAATCCAAAGATGAAGATACACAAAGTTAACATGAAATAAAGGCTAGAAAATACAGTGCACATGTGAGAATATGCTTCTGAAAATTTAGGAACCTTTGATGGAACAAATAGCTTTGGCAAAATCTTTGCAAGGAACACGTGGCCAGTTTGCCAGACACAGTAAAGCCATGTTCTCTGTATGTAAATGACTGATCTGGTTCAGGTTGATTTTTTCTTACTAAGGATGACCTACTGAACTTAACATAGATGTGCGGTGGTTTAATTAGCAACATTAGCACCCACTTTCAGTTTTACCTGTATAAATTTGTTACCCCTGGATTTGCTGCTGCATTCTACCTCGGTGCTCTGAGATGTTAGTAGTGTAATCATAACTGAGCTGCCAAGTTGTAATACAATGTAATTTTCCTTTCACAGTACAACAAAGAGCTATAACTTTGGTTAATAATGTCATAAACTTCACAAGCCAAAAAGCCAATAATGCCATAAATTGACAGTAATGTCACAGTATATTTAATAAGTCAACTTTCCCCCAAATCACTGACCCAAAGAGCACCATCAGGAGGGTGACGGCAGCCAAATTCTGGCGATCTGTGAATGCTGGAATTTGGAAGGCAGCGACCACAGCAACAGTCAAAGTCACAGGGATCATATACATGACCTAGAAAAAAGAGGAAACATGATGCAACAACGTTAATATAACTGAAAAAAAAGCTTAATAATAGTTTACAATTCAGTTTTTTATAAAAACAATTTCTTGTTATCAGTCTGTTTGCCTGCTCATTATATCATTTCCGAGGGTAATGTGTTTCATGTAGAGTTACAATCCAAAATTTGACATGGGGCAGGGACATATCACAGCTTTGCTTTTATTGAGTATAATCTGGACCCACAGCGGTTTGATTACGTTTGAGTGAGATATTCATTTGGGCCCCTTGTTAGGCAAAGAGAAGACGTTACCATGTCATAAAAAAAGTTCACAGTCCAGTAAAGGGGCTCGCTGATGCCGGCAATGTGCTGGAGCGCCTTGGAGCCACCGTGGTGCTCATTGACTTCATAGATGGCAAAGCTGGCTGTCATGATCGAGTACCCCAACATCACACACAGAGCCACAAGAATGTGAAGCATTCCCTGAAGACTGTGAGGAAAAAAATAGGATCATTCAGGTGACAAAGACAAAGAATGCTGATGTCATTAATTTATCAATCATGCCCATAATTACTGAATTATCCTTCATCTGCACTAACTCTGTTAACAAATTATGTATTGTGTTGTGCTGCTTTTGTTTTAAAAGTTTCTGTGCTTCCTCTATATAAGACTACAGTAGCTACAGGTTTAGATTCAAGGACAACAAAGTATATAAATGAATCAATATAATCTGGTGTGCCGAGTCATTCTAAATGAGGCAACCTGGTGCAATTCTTTTCAGAAAACAATGGCCCATTTTAAAATCCTCTTAAAAAGAGTCATCATATCATTGCCTGCTGGGATCTGATGCATTTAAACTATTGAAGTGGCTCACAATAAGATGAAATCCATTAATAACAAAAAGCTTGGTTAAAGGAGATGCTGGTGACTCGCCTTTAACAAGAAACTGCAAAAAAAATCAGGTGGATTCATATCGAGTACAACTTCACACCGCTATTGCTATATTGATATAAAGTATGCACAGTGACACTGCTGTGAGGCGACAGAGCTTAATGTCCAGCCTCGACTCCAGATGACCAGCTGAGGCTTTGATCCTTCAGTTACTCATAAATGCAGAGCTCCTTTAAACTTTATACCTGTTCACCTCCCACGCTCTCTTGCATGTTGATCCATTACATCACTCCTTTAGTCGAGGTGCAAAGCCATCAACCAAACAGAATAAGCTACATGAGGCTGAACAAAAAAAGATGAGGATGGCAGAGTGACTGAGTGGGACGGAGGGAGAATAGCAGAGATGGACATGTGGTGGGCGTTTTAAGGCAGCACTAACTACAGAGGACGGCCAGCAGCGGCAGCTACTCAGCAGGCTTGTTATCAATATGGTTAAGATAGCCTTAACATTTTTTTTTTTCCTATGAGCAAAGCTACTACACAGTGAGAATCAAAACATCTGGAGTAATAAGCCTGCTGTATCTTTAACACAGCTCAGGCCAAATCAATACATCAAGTGAGTAAGCGGAATATCACCCTGAATGGATGGGTGATTGTGCACTCACAGCTGCTGCAGTACCTTAGCAGGCTAACGATGAGTAGACGCTATGCAGAAAAATGCACTGGAGAAATTGGAGGCTGGTAAACACTGAAATGGCTGTGAGACGGTCAGTGCTAACAAGGCTCTGGAGAGGACAGACCTTCATCAGGCCACAGCTTCAGCTCAATTTGCTCTGGGAATGAATCATTTTCTGATCCAAGAGAACACATGTTTACTTAAATTCATGCAAGCACACACAGCCAGGCACTTGTTTTCTGCAGTCTGGGTCTCTAAAGCAAAATGTGGAGTATTTTAAATAAACTAATTTTGAGAAATGGGGTAGAATCAATCCACCTCTGTGCCACCTTCAGGGTAAACACCAGTTATATTGAGACTCTGACCTATAGTGCAAGTTCAGGGAAATCCATTTAGAAAATCAAATGTGGGTAAACACTGCTGCCCTGAGTCCACCCTGACTTTGATGTCCTGAAGTGAAATGGAGGATGGTTCCATAATTTGTCGGGCTTAGCCAAACAACAACCACTAATATCCATCACAATGTGACAAATTTTCAAATACTGTCACTAGACAGATTAGACAGAAATATCTTGTGCTAAACATTGATATTGGACACAGATTTCAGCAAAAGGAAGAAGTTTAAGTGCAGCCCTTACATTATGTCTTCATCATCCATCCGGCCAAAATAAGGGTGACTGGAAACGAAAATGGCTGTAATAAAAAAAAAAAAAGTATTATGTTAGCAGTAGAACAACAACATGAGAGTTATTTTTCAGCACAGGGACCAAATGAACAATGATATTCTCTTAGCCTGGGACACAGTCAGTTGAAAAATATAGTGAAAGATGATTTCATTTGCCAGTGAACACATGGAAAATTGAATTTTCTCCATTATTTTTTCAGGGTCTTCTAGATTGTTACAGACATGAACAGTACCTCTTTCTGCTTAGAATTCCTGAGATAGGAGAGTGAGAGTTCAGCAGACCCAGACCAAGGTGGAGGCTCAGTGCCTTGCTCAAGGGCATTTTGGTGGAATTAATGGGTTCTACTGACTAATCCATCTGTAACCATCCATCATCCCTCACTGCTGCTCTAGAGTCGGATGTTCCCAGATCTAGTTTGTATCTTTTCCAATGGGAAACAACTTCTACTGTAACTAAAAATCGCATTATAAATCAATGCTGATTGATTAATTGATAAATCATTTATTTCAAAAAGTGAAAAATCACAATTTTTCAGATTACATCTTTCAAAGTTTTTATTAAGACCTGAGTAATACTATATTCTCTGGAGAATGGGGCAGACCAATTGTCAGTACAAAACACAGTAGCAGGTGAGGGTGATATGAATCTCTAGTATGAACAGCAGGCAGGAGTGCCTTGCACATCTGCGGTAGTTTGTGGCTACTGTCAGAAATCCTACTACAGCTGCATGACTCTCAAGGGCTCCGACCAATAGCTGATACCACAGGACCCATTATGATGGTTAGGGCTTTATGTCTGACAGATAAACGATCACCTTGAAAAGTAATCTTCCTGGGTCTGCACCCCTGACACCCCCTGCCCACCGCTGAGAGTCTGCAGGTAACATTTAAATGATTACCCTCTACCCTCAAACACTTTGATCATCTACTAGGGAAGAAATGTATGTGTGCATGTAGTTCGCTGCATGCAAGGTACTGTACATTTTTATAAGCATTTCTTCATATGCCTTTATGTGTGCGTGTGTGTGTATGTTTGTATACTCTTGCCCCAGGCAGATGGTCAGGGTGATACACAGAGTTGAAACAGTTCTAAAGACATGGACCAGCCTCATTTTCTTTAGCACAGCTCCACAGTGAGAGGCATTCATCAGTATTCACCAAGCATAGAGATGTGAGTCTAAAGACACACAGCACCCCCTGGCTTTAATTCACTGAAATGAACCGTGAGTAAACACACTGTTTACTGCTCCCTTTATATTCAGCATACAAGATGCACTGGGCGGTCAATCAGTACTGTAGCACCTTCCTAATACTGATGTGCATCTCTTTATGCACAAGTCCAGTCATGTCTTTTTTAAACCTTTTCTTCAGCTTTTCTTTTACAAAAACAGGGAGTGCTGTGTATCTCCATGAGTAAAGCATAGACCAACAAATATATTGTGTATAGACTTTTCCCAAAATCACAGAAATAATAAAAAACAGTAACAATGGTATATTACAATGTCCAAAAACCCCAGAGAGCAGTAATCTTAGGTGTCATTGCCTTTGTGAGTACAGAGTTCTTGATCTATTTAAACCTAAATCATTGACATTTTAGATTTTAAATGTTTTTCTACACTTGCTCCAGCTTACAGTACCATAGTCACGTGGATCCTTGTCTGCCGGAAGATTGGAGCGTAGGATGAAGTTGTTGAGGCTGTTCAAGTATGCTGGCATTGTGTGGAAGCCCTCAGGGTTGAACCAGACCTACACCCATGCAAGCACAAACGCAGACGGTCACTGCCACAAAACAGGGTATGCAAGTCTGCTACATTTGTACAAAATGCCTTTAAATGTTTTGAAGCCAAGGCTTTAAAGATAAACTAAATGCAGATGTCATCGCAGGAAATTTGTACACTAAAACATTGACACTGTGGTGCAGTAAACCACATTTACAGCATGATGACACTCATAGTGTAACACTGCAGCTCCATCTTGCAGCCAAACATCTTTTGTTAGGGTGTCATGTTATAACTTTCAACAGCTCATCTTCACAGCAGCTACAGTAACAATGAGACAGGCAGCAGGGATTCAGCAGTAAAAATTACCTTAGACAGAGTACGGTTTTTGGGCACTGCTTTGAGATCCTTTTGCAGGTCAGAAGGTAGCGGCATGCCGAAATCAAAGCCGCCATACCTGAAAAATTATTGGGACATATATCAATAAGAAGAGCTCCCAATGCAGCTGAGAATTTAGATGTGACACATTGTGGTTTTGACTATTTGGTTTGCTTTTGAGTAAAGTAACCTGTAGGTGAGAGGCCTTTGGGGGTAAAAGTACCTGACTCACATTAAAAGTATAGCCCAACTAACATAATCAGCAAGTTACAAGATGTCTGTTCATATCAAGCTGAGGTTATGCAATATGCAATCATCAGCCATTAGATTTCAGCACATCCTTGCTGGGAATTACAACAGCCCTTTTTTGCACTTGCAACATTATCAGTTTTAAAGGATAAGACCGGCCATTTTCTACAGTATATTAATAGTATTTTCAGCAATCTCCACACAAAGACCAAAGCCACCAATTGCCACTAATCATGATTACTGTCTGTCAGCTGCCAGGCCTGGATTACCTTGTTTGTCTGTGTGTTCGACCACCATTGTTGTTAAAAACACCCTGGAAACACATTGCTGCACTGGGTGACACGTTTTATGTAATGAAACCCCCGACCCAAATATGTAGCCCCAAACTCTCCAAACGGCCATCATTTCCTAAAGTTAGCATGAGTCAGAGTCAGTGGTGATTTATTGTCAGTTTTATTCTCTGCACGGGGAGTACTGAAAATACTGCTTATATATAAAATGACCCACCTTATCCTTTAAGTATTTTAAGGGCATACATTATTTACAAACTATCTCAAGTATGTTGACACATCAAAAAAATGTAACATCATGAGATGTATTTCTAAAATGGGAAATAATGTATGATGCACCTGTTTAGATCTTCTTGGAACATCACTTCATATAGTTCATACAGACACCTATCAATGATGCATGTGCTGAATTCTCAGTGTGGCTACAATAAGAATAAGCACTAGCTGCCTTCACCTGTTCCTGATGAAGTCATTGGCTGTGGCCACTAAGTAGTTCTCAGTATCGATGCCACTGAGGTCATAAACAATTTGAGATGAAGGAAACTGCGTATGCGGTGGCTGGAAGTTGTTTGCCTCACAAATCTACACAATATGGAAGAGAAAAAGCCATCACACTTGCTCTTTTTCAAACAACCATGAGAAAAAACGTGCACACACAGAGTTTCTCTGTGACCCAGTCTCACCTGTTCCTGAGGAGTGCATTTACAGACACTAAATCCTTTGGAGCTGTTCCCACTGGAACTCCAGGAGTTTGCGCTTATTCTGCAGACCCTAAAAAAAAACATTCACAAAGTGAGTCAGCAGTACATGATAATGACACAAGCCGATCCTTGAACACATCTTTAAACTGGACTCAAATGATAAAATCTTTTCACACATCATGGCAAAAAGAAAGAAAATCGAATAATCTGCAAGCATTCATTGTGAAGCTGCAAACTTGTGTAAGTTCTGTGAGATCGGGACTTGAACATTTGTCTGTTGTCAGTTCAAAAACTGTTTTCAGATCTATTAAATATCTTAGGCACTGGTGATATTTTGCTTGTGTGGTTTGATGGTGCAACTCCCTCACAGTGTGTTTTCTGCCAAGTGCTTTCAGGGACACTGTCCAGATCAAAAAGAGACTGTAGCAATACATGTCTTTGTTCACACAAATATGTTATTTTATATATAAAGTAGTAAAAAAGAAAATCAGAAGCCCATGTTGTTTATTCCAATAAACTGTAAATGCAGCACTGTCATGTTGCAAAACATGAACGCTATTTTGCACAGTTTAGCCATTTATGGCAAAATTTTAAAATCCCTCCAGCGTCTGGTTCATGAATGTCAACATTGATTTGAGTGTCTGTAAGGGGAAAATCTCCCCTATAAACACAGGGAGTTAAAGGAATACAAATGTTGCTCTCACATCACAGAGTCCTGCTGCAGGCTTCCAGCCACATACACTGAGCTGAGCACCAGCAAAACAGAGTGGACGGACGTGAGAGAAATCAGAGTGAGAGTGGCAGAAATTAGAGGGAGACAGACTAGTAAAATGATTCAAGGTAAAACAGGAGGCCTGAAAAGAATGACAATGAGTGAAAATGGTAGAATGTGTAAAAAAGGTAGAATACAGAAAACAACTGAGCACAGGCACCCAGAAGATTTATCATTTTCAGGAAAAAAGAACAGTTGGCATTTGAGATGCGATTACGTACGTCTTATCGGGTTTGTTGAGGCAGGCGTTATCAATCCCGGGGAATGACATCATGGCGTCCACCAGATGGCTGGAGTTGGGATTTTGGTTTCTGTGGAGCCAGGAAACAGTAATTAAGCCTTGACCCAAAGGTAATACAGAAATTTTACGATAATAACATGAAGCACCACAGACTAACTGGGGCCAATCCCAGGTGACATTGGGCGAGAGGCAGGATACACCCCAGATAGTTCTGACACTTAGAGACAGACAACCACACACACCCACACTCATTCCTAGGGGCAATATCGAGTCAATCAACCCAAGTCTCATTTATTTGCACTATGGGAGGAAGCCGGAGTACCTGGAGAGAACCCGATCCGGCACAGGGAGAACATGCAAGCTCTACATGGAAACCTTCTTGCTGTGAGGCGACACAGCTAATCGCTGTGCCACCATACCACCCCGCTGTGAGGACCCTGCTACTGATTTTAATATAATATCCGTACTTTGAGGAGCTGGACAGGAGAGCCAGGATTTGTCACTTTACAGTGGACTTTTATTCAAACCCTCCCCTGTCTTTAAACACATTCAAAAGCACATTCATGAACAAAGATTCAGGTCATTATATTTGCATTGCTTGTGCAATCAAATCAGGAAACACAGAAGTCGGAGAAAGTTCATAAAATTTCTCTAGTGTCACAATGTATAGTTACAATAACAGTAGACTGAGGTATATTTGACCTACAACTACCTGCAAATCGCCCTAACACCTGCACCCCTGCACCAACACAGATCTCATTCAACGTAGAAATATCAATATCATTTTTCAATATGAAGCTGAAGAGGACTGGATGGAGTTTCGATACGGTCTTTGACATGAATCGGAACCTCTGCATTTCCTCCCTCACTAAACAACCTTTTGATCAAACAGAAGCGCTTCTCAACAATGAAGTCACCTCGCAACCTCCAGATCTCAATCTTGCTCACTTTGATCTTGTATCTCGGCTGTCTTCATCACAGTCAGCTCTTTCCTCTGCATCCCCCCTCTTGCAAGGTCCATCTGCCCTTCAACAACTTACAGCGTAAAATTTATTTTCTAACAACATATTGTCCCCACACAAATGATGCAGCAGCAACAACAAGTCGATCAGGTAACAAGCTGCATTAACCCTACATCAAAGTCTCATCCAAATCAGACAGCGCTGTTGCGGTTTGCATCTCCACGGTTTAGAAATTTGCTCCTTCATTTTAATGCCTCCCTCAGGTAAATTTTTGAAAGCCAGCACATGACACCACAAATCATCATATTCCAGACATTTGGCAAAAAACAGATAAGTTGTGTATATCGCCTGATACACACATTCTACTGTAACCTTTGCCATAATTTACCACATACATGTACAAGATCATTGGACAAGAGAAACTTCTACATGTCTTGTTGTGGTTATTTGTTATCAAAGGAACTGAAAAGAGCAAAGCTTCAGAGTTCATTTGAATTCTACAAACACGGTTGGTGTAATAAATACCCTGACTGGTCTTACTGTATTTACCTTTGTGTACGCCCTTCCCAGTACTCTCCTGTATTTCCTTTGCCATGAGCACTGACCTGAAGAAAGAATAACTTGGTCCAATGTTGTAGAGGGCAGGGCTCAGCTCCATCTCAGGATAGTTCTTCAGGTTGTTTTTGATGGAGCCTAGACTCATTGCAAAGATCACAAACAGAACCGGAAGCAGGATCTGAGAGAGCAGGCCCTTCCAGTCTCTGCGGCTGTGGTGGAACCTCTTGATCAGTATGGCTGATATCTGCTGCCAGGTCAGGGCCATGCCGCACAGCACGGTTGAACTGGTAAGCTCTAAAACACACAAGGGAGTAAATGGTGACAGGATTATGTCATTTTTATACTAATATTCTTACTGGCTTTTTCTCTATAAGGCACGCTGAGCTAAAGCTTAACAGGTAGATAGTATCACAAAAGACGGCAGTGCAATTCATTGAGATGGGTGTCCCACTTGTAGAAGCTGTAAAACTAGGTCAGCCGAGTAAGTATTGGCAAAATATTTTAGGTCAAATGTGAAAACTGAAAATCTAAAATAATGAACTGGGTAAAAAAACAAGCTAATGTTTCAGCATACTGATCACTTTCATTGACTTAATGTGTGAAAATGACAAAGAAATGTAGAAAGGAAAGTTGGTCGAGGAAAAAGAAGGTAGAAAGGAAGGAGGAACAAGACAGGGAACAGGTGAGGACAAAATGAGTTCACTCACTGATCATGTCACTAGCGCTGGAGATGCCCTCACTGTCATCTGAAGGGAAGCTGTCAAGGGATCCAGTGTCAGAAAGTGTCTCTGAGACAGACAGGAGCCCATCGTCAGCACCAGCTTCTGTGTTTTCATGAGTCAACTGGAGGAATACCTTCAGACATAAAAATAAAAAACAAATCATTAACCTGTGTGTATGTAAGAAACGCCTCAGTAGCTTCTGTGTCTGTATGAAGGTTTAGAGGAACAATACATCACATAGAACCTTTGAGTACCTAAGTACCTATAGATGATTTTTTCTTCACTGTGACTGCAGTTTAACTGTGATTTTTTTATGTGTGGACATGCATAACCATACCTCCTCTAGGGTGGTGTCAGAGATACCATAGCCCTCCAGCTGCAGGGAATCCAGGTTGGAGTCCAGCGCTGCCAGTAGAGAGCGGTATGAGGAGGTATTGGATGAGGTCAAAGGGGGCAGTGAGTAGATCAAGTCACCCCTGTGGACCTCCTTGAGCTGCGCTCCAGGTACATGTGCTTGGACAAAGGCCTTCAGTTCAGCATCATCAATGTTCCCAGACTGCTGGTTTAAAATCCAGACTTTTCCTCTTCAAGATCAAGATCAAAGATTTTTATTGTCAATTCACTATATGTGCAGGACATACAGAAAGTCAAAATACCGTTTCTCTCTCACCTAGTATTGAATACCATACCATTTAGGAAACTAAAATAGAATAAAAGTAGAGTAAAAATAGAATAAAAAGAATAAAAAAAACTAAGTCAAAGTGATTAGGATAAAACTAAACGGTGCAATCCAATAGGCTATGACTCAAACCATGTACAATCAGTGACAGTAGTGCAAATAATAAGAATATTGCCACGTGGTTGTGAGACTGAAATACACATGGACAGTAGCAGCAGATATGGTGGTAAAAACAGTCAGCAGCAGATTTACATGCACTATAACAAGAAGGGCTTTGGTGCAAATGGTCTGTGGTGGGTCACAGTCCAAGGTCAGGGGGCGGGGGGTAATGGACAGCGTTCAAAGCTGTTTGTAAGTCTGGTGGAGTGGGCCTGGAGACTCTGATACCTTCTCCCTGAAGGCAGGAGTCTGAAGTGGGAGTGTGCGGGGTGGGAGGTGTCATCAGCAATGCCGGTGGCTCTGCGGGTGAAGCGGAGGTCCTTCTGCAGGAGGCAGTACGGCCTCTGTACCACACAGTGATACAGCCACTGATGACGCTCTCAATGGTGCCCCAGTAGAAGGATTGCATGATGGTGGGGGTGGGACACTGGCTCTCCTCAGTTTGCAGAGGAAGTAGGGGCGTGTCTGAGCCTTCTTGGCCAGTGATGTGGTGTTGTTGGTCCAAGAGAGGTCCTCAGAGATGTGCACCCCCAGGAACTTGGTGCTGCTCACTCTCTCCACTACAGCACCGTCGATGGTCAGTGGTGGATGCTTTAGAGGTTTCCTCCTGAAGTCCACAACGATCTCTTTAGTCTTCCCCACATTGAGGGAGAGGTTGTTGTCCTTACACCACTGGACCAGTTGGCACACCTCACTCCTGTAGTTGGCCTCATCATTGTTGGTAATGAGGCCAACTACAGTCATGTCATCCGCAAACTTGACAATGTGGTTGGTGCTGTAGGTTGGCACACAGTCGTGGGTCAGCAGTGTGAAGAGCAATGGGCTGAGCACACACCCCTGGGGAGCCCCTGTGCTCAGCATGATGGTCTTGGAGATGTTGCTGCCGACCCGCACATTTTGTGGCCTCCTTGTTAGAAACTCTAGCACCCTGTTGCAGAGAGAGGTTTGGAGTCCCAAGTGTCCAGGTTTTTGTATAAGCTGCTGGGGAATGATTGCGTTGAATGCTGAACTAAAGTCTAGAAACAGCATTCGCACATAAGAGTTCTTTGAATCTAGGTTGGTGAGGGCTGGATGGAAAACAGCAGTAAAGGCATCCTCCGTGGACCTGTTTGACTTGTATGCTAACTGAAATGGGTCATGAGAGGGAGGAAGGATGGACTTGACGTTCTGCATGACCAGCCGCTCGAAGCACTTCACAATAATTGAAGTCAGTGCTACAGGCCGATAGTCACTGTAACTGGTTGGGTGGGGCTTCTTTGGAATTGGAATTATTGTGGTAGCCTTGAAGCATGTGGGAACAACCGCTTGTCTCAGGGAGACGTTAAAGATGTCCGTGAGGACATCCTTGAAGCTCCTCGGCACAGTCCTTTAAAACATGACCAGGTATGTTATCTGGTCCAGCTGCCTTGCGTGGGTTGATCCTGGAGAAGGTCTTCTTCACGCTGACTGCGGACAAACACACACCCTGCTCGCCCGGGGGTGGGGTGGACTTCTGTGCTGGTGTGTTGGTTCTGTGCTTCAAAGCGGCCAAAGAAGTCATTGAGGCTGTTCAGCAGAGAGATGTCACTAACACAGATCTGAGGTGGGGGGGGTTATAGTCTGTGAGGGTTTGGATGCCTCCTCGATTCCGTGGGACAGGTTGGCTCTTGCTGTTGCTAGGCCTGCGGTGTCGCCAGCCCTAAAGGCTGCATCCCTAGCCCTCAAGAGCCTGTGAACCTCACCTGTCATCCATGTTTTCTGGTTAGCACAAACAGTGATATTTTTGGTGTAAGTGACATCATCAATGCATTTTGTGGTGTATGCTGTGACGGCCTCAGTCTATTCCTCTATGTCTATGTGATTGTTATGAGTGGCTGCTTGTTTGAAAATGTCCCAGTCTGTAGTGTCAAAACAGTCCTTCAGAGCATAGGAAGCCCCCTCTGGCCACACCCTTTTGTGTTGGTCTGATGGCTCTCACTCTGGGTCTGTATGCAGGTCTCAGCATAATGGTGATGTGATCAGAGAGACCCAGGTGGGGGAGGGGGGAGGCTTTGTATACTCCCTTGCATGTAGTGCACACAAGGTCCATTGTGTTGTCTCCTCTTGTTGGAAAGTCCACATGTTGGCGGAGATTGTGCAATAAAACCTTTAAATCCGCATGACTGAAGTCCCCAGCTGTGATGAGGAATCTGTCTGGGTGTGCTGTCTGTTGTTCACTGGTTACCTGGTAGAGTTCATTTAGTACCTCGCTCCTGTCGCTGGTGTTAGCGGTGGGAGGAATGTACGCAGCTATCAACAGAATTACTGAGTGCTCCCTACATAAATAGAAAGGCCAGCACTTGATAATAAACTCCGCCAATGGAGAACAGTGTTTATGAACAACAGAAGCGTCCTGACAATAAGCATCGCTGATGTAAACACAAACTCCCCCTTCACAGGGACTCGTTCAGCTCGGTGGCATATTAGCCCATCTAGCTGGATAGTGGAGTCCGGGATGTTGTCGTTGAGCCATGTCTCCATAAAAATGAAAACACAGCAGTCCCTCACGCCGTGCAGATCTCAGGAGCTGTATGTGGTCTATTTTGTTGTCCAGTGGGCGTACATTGGCCATAATGAAGGATAGTATTGGGGGTCTGTGTGGGCAAGCTGCCTCCCTGGTTGCCCAGCTTCTGCTTTCATTCACACCACTTCCGACACCTCATCTCAGGGGGTGGTGTAGCTGGTGTGTCCGGTGATGTAGGAATCCGGCGGAGAAGCCCCAGGCCTTGAAGATCCTATGTGACTTCCTGGTCCAAGTTGAAATGTTTTGACTTATTCCCTATAGTCCATAAGGCAGTGGCGACTATGTTGAGTGCAACATAGACGTTGAACTACGCGCACCAGAACATAAACACGACAAACACGAACACACACTAGAACACACATTATTAGACATACAACCGGGAGAGAGACAAGCCGCCGCGTCTATTCGCTCCACTGCCAATTTATTACTGACTCATTAGCCCTGAGGTGTAAAATGTTTTTACTATTTTTCATTAACGAATTGTCCAAATAAGGTACTAAGGCAATGTAAATGAACACAACCCACAGCAGTGTTAATTTGAATACTCTTACACTTAGGATCTGATGCCTGTAGGCTGTTGCACACGTAAAATACATATTACCTAAGACCAAACATGCAAATTTCCTGCTTTTCTTCTTTTTCTCCAGAGCAAAACCCCACTGAACTCCTTAGTAAATATGAACACACACACAATGTCATTGTTTAGTGCCAAACAAAAACTAGCCACAAATCCTGAGTAAATATCGCCCTACTGCAAGTCTTCTCACTGAGCTGTTATGATAAGCTAAACTTAGGAAACTGGCAACACATTTTTTCTGACCCTGCCTAAGGGTTTCTGCCTCTAGGCTGTTTAAATGTTTGAACACTAACATAGAAAAGACATTTGATACAGCCTGAAATAAATACAGTACAAGAAACAGTTAAATAATAATAATAAAGGGAAATTAAGGTTTCAATAAAGATAGATGGCCAGCAATATCAAAAGGGGCTCACTACGTGCTCCCAGGCACCTTGTCATCAAGTCTGACATTGTAAACATTCAGCTAATAAAGAATATGATGATCTAGAGTTATTTGTCAACATGACCAAAGAATACAGTCAAAACCAACTTTTTAACTGTTACATTAGAAAACAAGTGAACAAAAAGTATGAGGCAGGTTGCAGTAGTCAGCAGGGCACCATTTTGTAGGATTTAGTCCATCTAGCAGTTTTTCAGTGTTTCTGATACAATTCACACTTTTGCAATATGTTGGAGAAGGAAAACCTAAAATTTATTTACACAGGAGCAAGTCAGCTCTGCTTATAATGTATTGCGACAAGTTTATGTTAGATGTGAACTTCCCAAGATGTGTCACCGGTAAGAGAGGGTCTGGGAAAATGCAGAGATATAGTTACTTTCTGCCTTAAAGGTCATGGCCTTTAGGTTGTCACATTCACTTATGCAAACATTTTAATATGGAGCATGGGGACCATTTGTCTACTGGGGGAACACTGATTATTTCACCAGAAAAAAAAAACATTAAAAAAGGATCTTAAAAGAAGGAGGGGGGTATATTTGAGAACAATTTCATGTTGTGGAAAACAAAGTCAGCAACTGAATATTGCAGGATTAAGATGAGTCTAGAGTGCTTTAGTGGAGCATGGTGACTGGATGAATACCTTCTTGTTGAGGGTGAGTTTGTAGCCTTGACCCAGCTTTTCTTTCAGGTAGAAGGGAGATCCACAGCATTTTAATCCTCCTTTCTCCAGGAAGGCAATGCGGTCACTCAGCACTTCAGCCTCATCCAGGTGGTGGGTGGACATGATGATGGTGTGCTCTGAGACGACACACATACACACACCTCTGCATTATTTGTGTGCAAATTATTGTATAACCCATAACAACAGTATAACTCAACAGAAGGATTTAAGAAATGTGTAAAAGGAATCGATTTGATAAAATCTTGTGATCCGATGTTTGTGAAACAACAAGGTGAAAGACGAACATAGGATGTGTTCTGGAAAAATAGGTTTTGATTTTTCTTATTTTAATTGAGCACACATTCACCTTTTGAGTGTTAACACACATACACACTTGCACACTACCCCCCTAAAAATAAACAAACCACAGTCCAGACCTGGCCACACAAAAGCCTTGTCATGCACAAATTATCTGAGGAACGGGCACACAAACAAGCAATGCACAAAGTTTATTTCGAAATTGATTTCCCCTGGCACCAAACTCTGACTAGCACCTAAGACAGGACCAATTACACAGGATATTTTCTACAGCCACAATTATATGACAGTTAGCAGTCTTCATGCTATTACCACTGTTCCTGTAAGACAGCCTGAAGATAAAGTGATTCTGGATTTACTTTAGATGAATAACATGCTAAATGTAAAGTGAGAAGCCTGAGCAGGGGAAAGCCCTGTAGGGCCGACTCAAGGTTCACTGTTCTTTCTGCTCTTCCCCACGTTTTTCTCTCAGATGATAAGAAGGCGAGGCAGAGTGTGTGCAATGTGAATTTGACATATTTGTCTATTTCAATGTTACATGCTGAACTTTATTTCTAAAACACTTTTAAAGAGTTTAGAGTTACAAAGTACTTGACAGTAGCACACACAGACGGTCTGCATGTGCACATAAAATACAATACCATAAAGCACACGAATTTCATAGAGCAAAAAGAAATAAAACAAAGTATGAAAGATAGCAAATAATAAAAACCAAATGCCATCTAATACTGGTGGGATTTTAAGAGCTTTGTAATTCAGCCAGGACTGGAAAGATACTGTATGTTCTCTGTGTCTAGTGTTTGTCAAAAGCCTTACTGCTGCATTCTGCATCAAACACAGATAAGTCACTGCTGCTTCACTGAGGCAAGAAGAAATGAATTGCAAAAGACAAGGTGAGAGGAAATGGGGGCGCGAATGAGTTGCTCTGCTATATCTTTTGGAAAGCATTGCTTTGAGTGGCACTATCTCTGATTTATAGGAATATTTCTTAACTCCTAGATTTCTCAGTGAAGGTTTCAAGTTAGCTGTTAGCGGTTAAAGAGTAGGGGTGCCATGGTTAGAAGTGCAACTGGGACCAGAACCAGACCAGAATTACCAGAATTTCAGTTTTATCAGTATTCACTTGCAGTGTTGCGATCTAGTCTACAATCCAGCAATGCAGGGAATCCAGATTCTTCAGTGTTTCAGAAATAAAAAGACATATCACTGGATATTGTTAGCATTATAATCTTAGAAATTACTGAAGTGACAACTAATATGGCCAAGGACTAGCAGATACAAATAGATTGTCATTATTGGTGGTAGCAGTTTTTACAGTATATGCAGCAGTAGTAACAGTAGTCACGTATGAGTAGCTTGAGGCTGAATGAAGAGCTTATGAACTCTAACAGGATTATGTGTGTCTGAGACACTCACGTTTCTTATTCTGGATAATAATGTCCCAGATGCTGCGCCTGGAGCAAGGATCGACTCCCGTGGTGGGTTCATCCAGAACCACCAAGCGAGAACCCCCTATGAAGGCGATGGAGATTGACAGCTTACGCTTCATGCCGCCCGACAGGGCGCCCACCAGCTTGTGTCTGTGGGCGTACATGCCTGTCTCCTCTAGGGTCCTGGAAGAGGAGTCAGTGAAAATCATTCAACAAGAAGCTCATGTTCACATACTCTAAGCATTACAGTCCAGTTTCTGAGTTACAGTTCCATCAGTTACCCAGCGAGGGATTCTGAGCTATAGGAACCAGAGGAGAGACAGAGCTTCTTGCTTTTTGGTTCATCCTTATCTTGTAGCTTGTATCATGCCATCGACTGAGCCACTGACACAGTCTCATGATGTCAGGTTGTAAACTGAATCAGTATGACAGATAACATAGCACCACTACATCATGCACAACTGCTGATACCACCTTGTAGACGGTGATTTTAAAATAGTGAACTTACTTCCGAATTTGTTCACGCAGTTGCCCAGGTGACCAGTGTGGGGCCTTGATCTGGCCATAGAGCAACAGGTGCTCTTTGGCGGTCATGTGGTCAAAGAGGACGTCGTATTGCATGCAGACACCCAGTTCTTTGCGAACATCATCTATGTTGCTCTGCATATCTCTGCCATACACCTCAATTGTGCCAGATGATGGGGCAAAAAGGCCAGTCAGGAGAGACCTAAGCACAGAGCATGATCAGTTATTATACGAGTGACAGATTTATAAAATGTCTCTAGAGATGATTCTGTCTAAACAGTTCATGTAGAATTATGTACTTTACCCTTCATAATTAGGAAAATGTTAATGGATAATTCAAACTTTGTTAACCAGTTTCTGAATTACTTTTGCCAATATGGGACATAAAATATTATAAATGTCCTTTCTTCTTGTCCCATTTGCTTTTTTGTACTTTGTCACCAGTTCTTTCCTCTTAAATTATGATTTGTTGGTCCCTAGATGTCAGGTTTGCCCAGCTCCACCTTCCTCTCTTCTTTTTCCTCACACTAGCCTAGCCCTTGCACTGATTACACTATTCAACACACCTGCCCCGCTTCCCTGATTACTCACCAGCTGCACCTCATTAGTCTCCTCCATACTTATACACTGTTCACCAGTCACTCCCCTGCCAGTTCTTTCTCTGTCTTCAGGCCAGTGGTTGTTATGTTGTTTTATCAAGTTTATGCTAAGATTGTCTTTGTTCTCTCTAGTCCTTGTTAGCACCCTAGTCGTTATCCTGCCCTGCCGTCTCTAGTGT